AATACATATTATTCCGAATGGCACCACTAATTACGGTTCAAAAGTGATTGCCACGTCCCTATTCGTGAATGTCCGCATTATTTTCAAAGAAAATTTAGCCTCACTACATTCCAGAAGAAATCTAAGATTTATCTACCTAAAGTCTCCGTATGTTTCCGGACGTAGGTACACAAGTGCATCTACGTCTTCTTTACGCCGTCCAACGCCAACATCAATTATGACTAATGTGGCTTTGCGATCTTTCAATCTACTTAGCAGACATGTGTTGCCGAACCAATGCGTTGCCTAACCTCTATGATATCCATTTTTTGAGGAATTCTTCTCGGGAAGTATCTTGTAGAAGACAATTAAATATTTCCACTTCATTCCTCTCTATTTCCAGCTTGCACCCTCCACACTTCAGCATGAACGGGTGAATTTTGATGCTACTTCCAACAATGTTCAACAGACTAGAAAGTAAAGTAGAAGTAGTAATAACAGTTCTTCAATCCCTCCGGGGTCGGTTAATTGGTGTCAGGCTAGCCTAAAAAGACAGAATTAATGGTTTTTACATCGGCTAGCCGTCGCATTTCATTGTATAGTCCACAACGCATCCAAAACGTCACTACGATCCCGAATGGAAGTCGAATGCAGGGTCGCATTCAGAAAACGGGATTGATCCGCGCCAAAACTTTTATTCTTAGACTTTAAGCATTTTCTATGTTTCATGTTAACTTGTTTATAATCCATTTATCTTTCTGCAATGGATATCACCTGATTCACTGCTTTGTTACTAAATTCCCACTATGTGCGAAAGCTGCTATGTTCATAAATCCCACAATAAGAACCAAACTCAGTCCTTAACAGAGTGAGGAACGAGTCTTCGTACAATCCACAAGCAGATCGTAGTCAAATTCATAATGCTATGTGTTTTGCATTCCATTATAGTGCCTACTTCTGAGCTTGTGTAAAAGGAACTAGAGATGAAGCACAGTAGAAATATCCTGCATCTGAGGACTTTGCGCAGGAAACCTTTGCTAACCAAGTGCACGCCTTACTACAATGTTAAGCACATTCGACTTTCCTTCCCAACGGCGTTTCAAAACACTTTCACGGAAGAAACATACTTCTTTTCGAGGGAGCGTTCGATCGTTCAAAAATTTATGACTGGTTTTGGCTTGACGTTCTTAGGAATCGCCTGCAATCTTGATCTTGCCAACCGTTAGCGCAGCTTATAATGATTATGATTTTTTTTTTTGGAGATTTTCCGTGCTTGATTTTATTCGTTTATCACACAATTCTGTAGATTGCTTGCCACTCAGAAATAATTTTCGTGAGCGTTCAGGTTATCCATGGGTGACTGAGCTATTCTAGTTTTTTTTTTCTTTCTTTAGTGGATCATTCTTGAATGCCACCATTTCAGAGGCAGGCGGAGACGGAGTGGGGTTACCTTATCGTATCCTATCTTAATTGAAGATATGATCCATCGATATGATCCAGTTGTAGTGACTGTATACTTTTTTCAACACTGCGTTTTTGTTGTGATCGTCTCAACTCCTTTGAAAAATGGGAGCCATCACTTTCGCAACGCGCTCTCTGATCGTGGAATTACTCACACATCCGATAAGTCTCGAGAAAACGACGAAACGAGGAAGCAAGTTCAACCAAATAACGAACATCTTGATAGGAGTGAAATTCTCGTTCCTAAAGCTTGAAGAATTTTAAATTGGGTGGACTCTACCACAAATAAAAAGATTCTCGCATTCTTACTGTTGGGTACATTCCACGGTTCATCACTTACGGTTTTCTAAATCCTTTTCATTCGCACTCTCAATTATGCTGCTACTACCAGGATTCCTATGTTTCGAATAAGTCTATGCAACAATTTCTTAACTATGTTAATGGACATCTCAGATATGTAAACGTTCAATTAAATGTTATATGTAGGCGACTACAAATTAATCTTCCTTTATCATTTAGTGCAAGCTCAATTATGTTCCCTATCAGTTCTACTGGAAATTCGAGTTTAAAGGCGTGATTCAAAATGAAAATTGCATCCTATCGCGGAATGCTTCTTACAGCCCTAGAGATTTGCATGTCTCAGTCGCCACGAGCATTCATTATCATTCATGTTTATAGTCAATTCCAAATAGGATTCAGATCATTAAAGCCTAGAAGAAGCAGCCTCATTTTCACAGCTTCCTATACTTTGCTACTCTAATTTCGTGGTTAATCTTAGGTAACAAGCCATTTCTTCTGTTATTTGGAGAATGTATGACGATCCTTTATTACACTCTTGGTGTGGCATGAGTATATTTTTGGTAGTCTGTTTTATACTCCCATGGATGTCAAGTCAATTCAAAAACTAACTATCGCTATCAGAAAACTACTGTGAGTGCAACTTGTTGCCTTTTAGTAACTGAGTTACCATAAACTATTAAAAGCTCACTTCAATTAGGGTAGAAGAAAGTCTTCTTGCGAACTTGGTAGTTCTAGAAATCCAGGAGAAAGGTATACTATGGTATGCACAGAAAATTATTCGGCGTAGTAATAGGGTGATCAAAAACTCACAAGTATCTGAGTATACCATATTCTGACAAAAGCACGTGGATCCACAGGGCAAAAAATAGCTAGCATACAAATATTTCGCATTACGCAGTTATTTGAGCGCGTGCTTATGCGGTTATTATGGTCATAGAAACATGGCAACTAGTATTACTCATCGTCCTTTCACATAGCCGACCTTGCGATGATGACCGTTCAAGCACCACTTGTTTTCGCTTACCCCATAAAAAGGTCTATTGTTTGGACGTCACTTTGAACGACTGCCATCCCAATTTCTTCACCAGGCTCTTCAGGCCCTGTAGCGAGATCCGCAATGCAAGTGTTGACCAAGTTCAAGGATACTGATGTTCTTATTCATTAATTAAACATTTGCTGATGTTTGCCAAATTTCAAAACAATCTTCGAATATTTTAGAAAATCTTGAATGACTTTATACACGGAACACGATTCACTAAATATTCTCTCAGCGATCGTAAGAAGAGTATTATTGAACAAAATTATCTGAAATGTTTGCCGATTACTAGACATTGGAGATGCTCCCCTTCGCAATGTTTGCGTTGGTGCGCTTCTGACAAATGTTCGGCGCATAGTAGTCAAAGTTCGAAAATGCACCGAACGGATATGATTCCAAACACTTTGAGACATACTAAACGTGGCGCTCTGGAGCAACTCGAAACCGACATTTCGAGAGAGAGCGGCTTAAACTAGATGACTCAACAATCGAATTCTTGATCGAAGCTTATCAGAGCTAAACAGAAATCCCATGTCTTCGAAATTGATTAGTAACAATGAATCGAAGTCCTCCTGTTCTCCTGCTGGCTCCCTGGCTCCCAGCAGTTTGCGCCTGTTTGTCTAAATTTCCTATGCCTGAAGTTGTTGCCCGGCTTGTATAAGTGTGTACTTAGTTCAAAACCCTTCCTAGAATTTTATCTCGTTCAAGTGTGTACCATTGTGTACCAAATATAATTCACGTTCTGTGTATCATACAATTCCGGCAACTAGCCTCTTTAGGAGCACAGCTTTTGCCTCGAGAAGCTTACTTCGAAAAGTCATAACCTTTAAAAGGTAACCATGCCGAGAACTGAGCACAATAATGTGCACCAGCTGTTGATCGCAAGGTTCCCTGATGTGCACTAACTACTACTATACCTTTTCCGAAGCTGTCTAAAGTTCTTTTCAGACACAGAATGCGATAAGAATGAGAATGAGCTACTATCGTCGGAACTCACTCCCAGTTCTTCGACCGACGCATTTGGAAAATTCATAAGTGCTGGTAACTTCCCGAGAAGGTATTCAACCTGAAAACCATGAATACTACTAAGTACTGTAACTAGGGGAAGTAATGACTTTAATGTGGCGAAAGGGGTTTGAATAAATGCAAGATTTATTACTATGTATTGTTGCCATAAATCAAAACAATTATTGCTTCTCGAATGAATTAAATGGATGATTGGCATCACGAAGAGATTACAAAATTGGGGGGAACGTGCGATTTACGCGTGACCCCATCAGAGCTTTTCGCGCGCGCAGCGCGCGACACCGGGCGGCAGATAACGTACGAAGTTTGATGCGGGCGCTACATGCTCTTCAGCAGAGATGGACCAAACGAGATTTGGCCAGTCTATGGCTCTACTACAAAATAGTACCCATCTTTCACCATAACAATACAGCTTGAAGATTTGATTCATAGGTCCACAATTTATTTGTCAATCGTTCAAAATAAGAACAATTTTGAAATGTTTCGATCCTGATAAACATAATCTTTCTGTTAACGTGCATAATTGATATTTTTCTACATGTATTTTATAGATTTCTACTTTCCCCATTACGATGTTAGGCATGATGTTCTAGCGCGTCTCGTTCACAGCACCGCGCTACCGCAGGCCCGCCCTTCACGCGAAACGACCTCATCATATTGACACGTGAATCACACCACACCTCTAAAAATAGTACCTCCAAGATCAGCAGGCCATTCGAATTTCGCAATGTAGACAAAACAGATAAGCATTCCAAGTTTTCAGTTCTGATTCGAATAAAATTCCTTGGCCATGGTCGGCTTGACCATGGTCGTCTTCCCTTAAATCCCTCTGTTATACTAGCAGAATAACCATAGAACTTAGAGGAGGATTCATCGCGCCATTTCCAAGTAAAGTTTTGTTATTCCATCGGTTGACTCCGCAACGTTGACCGTTTTCGTCATAATAGGAACCTCCATCACCTGACCAGGCTGAGCCCCAGCAAGTACTAGCACTATTTCGGCAAGCTTTGCATGGCATTTTCTGAGCTCTCATAATCAAACCCACAGTCTTTTCAATGTGCTGATATAAAGAGTCTTTCCTATGATGATCTTCTACGATGTTCAATTTTTGTTCTATTTGTGAAAATTAACCATCGATTCTCCTCTTCAGTGCGTTGAACCGACTAGGGAAATTTTCATTTTTGTCGTGCATTTTCAGATGGCACGAATAGCGAAGGAGAACATATTACTTATTTTCACGGTAGCTGGTGTAGTAGCAGGAATCCTCTTGGGTATTACACTTAGAGACCCGGATGTGAGATGGAGCAAACGTCATTTGAGCTATTTACGATTCCCGGGAGATGTGTTCGTTCAAATGCTCAAGATGCTCATCCTACCACTAATTATGTCGAGCATTATGTGAGTCCTTATTTGATAATATCGTTATTTTGTCATAGAAATTCCGTAGATCCGGGCTCTCTGGAGTTCTAATTCTTCTTTGACTTCCGACTGAAATCAGCTCTTTGCTTGCCTGCATCCTAATTCTCGTCCCCTTTTTGCACCATCTAGTGTCGTGCATCCTTTTCCCCCACCCCCAAGGCCAACAAGGTGACATGTTGTCCATTTGCTGTAATGGATGGATCCCACTCTCAGAATTCCAGAGTGGAATTTCGAAAGTATAAAATTAATTGTGGATAGTCCTTGCAGATGCTTCTGAGTCTTTAATAATCTCAGACTTTCTTACAGTACAAGCTTGGCTTCTGTCGATCCACACACAGCAGGTAAACTAGGGATGATATCTCTACTCTACTACTTCATAACAACCATGATGGCTGTGATATTGGGTACGTTTGCAACTAATCGCTTTCTCGCTTGCAAAAAATTTGAGCACACGACGCGCGGTGTTCTATGCAATAGCGCCTCGAAATCCGAGCTCCAAGACAGTAGCAACACTTTTTTCCCATCCTCAGTATAACTACAGTCAAAAACTATGACGTGATTGAGTTTCCAAGTGAGAAGCGACTTCCACAAGATTGTCTTGGAATTCAGTGCCTTCTAATTCTTATGAAATTTTACAACTTCGATTGGAAAGGATAAATTTAGTTAAAGTGATAGAAATACTAAGAGGAGCAAGGATCTTTTCATGGTTTTGGCTTTTCTTATGATCATAGTAAGTTAGCTATTCAGGCATAATATTAGTGGTGATGATACAGCCTGGTAAATGGATGGCTACGAATATAGAAGAAATTGTTGGTGAAGTTAACAAAGCACCATGCATTTCCACTGCAGTTGACACTATACTTGACCTCGTCAGGTATAATTTAAGTAGCAATAAAGTAGTTAGATTTAGAACTGACGAAGTTTTTTTACCAGAAGCCTATTTCCCGAGAATCTTATGGAGGCAACGTTTCGGTCTCATAAGGTGTGCATGAAATTCCTCAATGGGTCTATACAAGTGAATCCGGATGTTGTTCTGAAATTGAGTACAGGTTCGCAATGCCATTTACTTTGGAATGTTGCAATTGCAGATGATTTGAAAATGGAAAAGGCATTACTTAAATGACTGTGAAAGGTAAGCTAAAAATGCCACCACATGAGATGAATTAGAATTAGCCACTAGTTATTGCTCAGAATGGGGTTCAAAGGACTGCACTAGAGATGCGACCTCGCATCCTACACCACATGGGTCATCTGAGTGTTCCGGAGTTCCATTCTCCCTAAATTACTGTGCTGGTGGCAGATCTGTCTTACATATAAAACACTGACCTGTACAACAACTGGTCTTCGCTGAGGGTATGCCCATTCACGTACAAATCTAATTCGCAACTTCTTAGCATCTCCACTCACTTGCCTGTAGGATAGCCTCGCTTGGTTGTTTGGCTGCTGACCTCTCTGCTAAACCAGACTCATTGTAGCAATATCGATTGTATGAGTTAGAAACTTCGTCACATTCGAAATATGAGAAGTAAATCTAAAGCAAAACTAAAAGTAAATATGCAACACACAAAATATGCAACACTGAGAGTTGTGGAAGTTGAAATAATCATAGGAAAATCATAGGAAAAGGCAAATGGATTGATTGTATCGCGGGAAACATTCTCCCAAGTATGCTAATTAGTTACCACAGAATGACGTTTCACATTTTTCTCGACACTTTGTACCGGTTGTTTAGACGCTGTCAAGAGGTCATTCAAAAGTATTCAAACATGTGGATGAAAGCATTACGATGAAAGCATTATCAATAATCTCTGTGCTTGACACCGCATGAGCACAATGTCTCACTTGTATTGCTCTGGATTCCAGCACAGCGCCTTCTCTGGCTTCAACTCAAGGTTAGCTGCTGTTGTTCCTTCCTATTCCTACATACATATACTTGTATTTAGCTAGCCCACAAGCACTGTGCCACCATTACTTTACGCACCTTCGCTCCTTTTACCACTTGCACATTCCCTTTCTGCTTCCTCGGACGCTGTAGCTCCAAACTCTTCTCATTTGTCCTCAGTACACGAAACTACGTGAGCTCTGTACGTATACCAGGACCCCTCGTTTTCAGAAACCCTGGGCGCGGCTACAGCCACCCAAAACTGGAGCACGAACAATAAGTAAAGTGTAACAAATTGGAATCAGCGGAGCTTGGTGAACCATTAGAAGAAAGTAACGAAGGGACGATAATGAAAATAGAGTGCACCATTCCACCTTACCCTGAGGCTCATCAGTGGTTTGGGGTTAGTAGGCAAAGGAATGGGTGAAATGCATCCTTTAATACGGTTAAACAAAGAACAAAAAGGAAACTAAGTTCCACTATGAACACTGTTCATTACATAAGGATTTTTATAATTTCTTTAACGAATTGGGTAGTGGTATGAAGATAATCCTTCATAGAATACTTGCAACGAATAAGTTTCTTTCTGCAAATGCAAACATATGCTGGCGGGTGCTAGGTAGTATGGGAAGGGATCATTACATACTAATTTATCAGATATAGTTGTCATATACTGCGATGGTTTTGAATCTTTACATTTCGCCTTGTTATTTCAAAACATGTGATAGTAACAATAGGGTTCCTACTTATTGAATCGATATTGATTGAATTGATATTTGTTCATTTGAGGTTGCCAGAGCGGGGAGTCGGAATTTATGTACAAATCTGTTTCCTCGCTTTTTCGCTCACACCCCTGTGGGTAACCTACGTTAACTCGTTGGATGCTCTCTAGCAGTCTCAGATGAACCAGTATCGATTCTATGGATTAAAACTTCATTACTATCAGTATTTGTCATTATGTTATTAGTGTTATTATTACTAGTACTACACATTTTAAAATTACCCTCACTTGCTTAGTGTGGTCTAGTTTTGGAGCAACTGTAGCTGCGCGTAAGGTTTCTGAAAAAAAGGATCTTGGTATATAAAGCCCACAGTGATTTCGGCTGCTGAGGATAAATGAAAGGAGTATGGACCTACAGCACTCGAGGAAACAGAAAGGGAATGTTCAAGTGGAAGGAATGAAGGTGCATAATGGTAGCTGAAAATTAAGTTGGGGGTGCCAGCGCCCTTTTAGGCTCCGCGTCTCTGTCACCAATCGGCACAGCGCTTAGAGACCGCGCTAGAGTGCAGAGACGATTTCCTCCCCTTTCTCAAAGTTAGCGAAGGAGCTGCTGGGTGGGTGAGTCATTTGGATGTTCAAATCTTACCCAATCCCAGCTGTTCGCTCAAGATAATCATATCACCCTTCCTGGAGCTCCTCCTCTTCTATAATAAAAGTTGAGGGAGGAGCTCCGGATTGGGTTAGCCAGTTGGATGTTCAACTCTTACCCCACCTCAGCTTTTTGCACGAGATAATCGTTTCTCCCGACCAGAATTTCCTCACCTTAATTCTAGAACGGGGAGAAAACATCTCTGCGCTCTAGCGCGGCGCCCCCCCCCCCCCCCCTCCCTAACTACATACATTTTCACCTAGTGTTGGCACAGTGTATTGTGGAAGGCCAGTGAAATACAGGGTTCGCTATGAATAAGAAGGAATAGGAGCAGCCAATCCCGAGTGAAGCCAGGGAAGGCAGAGTGGTGCAAGTTAGTGTAATACAACTGAGGCATTGTGCTCATGCCATTTTCATCTACATGCTTGGATACCTTTAACTGAATTCCTGACGGTGTACAAACACAGCAAAACAAGTTCCGAAAAGAGTGTGAAAGGTAAGCAACGACTGGTTCGAATTCTCTGCTACGAACGAGATTTCGTGACCTCCCATTGCCTGATATGCCCTAATGAAGGAGGGCGACTGCATGACTTCAGGCGTGATCTACCTGATTAAATGCGAGGTGTGCGAGAATGAATACATTGCGGAGACTGGGGACCCCTGTGCGCTAAGGTCAAAGAACGCCTGGGTGGCTTGTATCGGGCAAGGCTGGAGACCCCCTTGGGTGCTCACCTCATAGAGTCCTATGAAGGTGCGGTGTTCGGAATTGCAGTTAGGGTTCTGTTGTTGAAACCTCTCCCCGCGAAAGAGACTTGAAGCATTCTTCATCAGCGCATGACACTCCTCCTTCCTATTAGCGCCATGAGCCCAAAATTGAGTAAGGAGGACGAATGCCATGCGAGGGTGATGGTGAAATAGGGTACCACGTGAAGAGGGAAGGGGCATATCATCTAAAGCCACCCTAAAGTCTCTGGGAGTCAGTTTAGCGGTGGTCGACGACAAGACCGGTCGTTACTTAAGGTGGGTGAAAAGTGTTTGTGATGCCTATTTGTAACGCTGGATCTGAAGAACTATTTTCAAAGTTTTGTTGTTGTGTGAGAGATGGATAGCAATTACCTTTGAGTTGGTAGACTCCGACGAAGGCGAAAACGCCGATGCATAAGTCGAATAAGAGTTTGTTTATGATCTTTGTCACAGGTTTCATCAAAAGTTTCACGAGATTTGTTCGAAGCAATGCTAAGATTCATCGAGATTCAAACTTGGACGCTTAGTGCGAAAGCCCATGCTTTGTTAACTAGTCTGCCTGCAAGGCCTTTAGAGAATGAATGGTTTCTACAACTCAGTGATTTTCCTGTGATTACCTTACTTCCACAGCGTCCAGTGTTGCATACTTATGTTCACATATTGTTTGCTTTTTATTTTGACTTGATGTTTTCTCATTTAAATCTCGCGAATTTTCTAATTCGTACCGTAATAGCTAGGTCTAATCTGGCAGAGAGGTCAGCATTCAACCAATTGTGCGAGGTCACCCCGCAGGGTGCGAAGAAGGTGCGAACTATAGTATAGGGTGTGGCATAAGCATGGCAATAAGTGATTGTCTGCAGAAATGGTATTCACATTGATACATGATGCATTCTTACGAACTATTCACTATGCATGGCATCAACAAACTGAACGCACAGTCATCTGTTATAATCGTCTTTTAAGTAATTGTAGCCCAAAGACACTTCGACCACTCATCGACAGTGGCACGCAGGGTTTCCTCAGGAACTTCAATCCGCGCTTTCTCCAATATTTCGTAGAAGCAGCAATGGTGGTGTTTCTTGAAGCCCAGACTTCACAATCCTGTATGAACTATACCCACCCTGTTGGGTTAGGGGCCGGGAAAATCGTATGCCAATTAGAAGCGGTGAAATAATCACGATAATTATTTTCTCAGCGCCAGTCTTGATCATTTTCCATTCGTGAACAAGTGCGCCGTAGCTTCCAATTCGTGCCCCTAGAATAGTGTTGATCCTTGCAGTAAATTCGCGAAAATGTTCCCTTCAAAGATTTTCTGCTCAAATTTTATATTTTTGTCGATGAAAATAAGCGATATTGCTTTGTTGGCACAGATTCCAGCCGAAACATTATGAAAGAGAGAAAATGGCTAAGAGTAGTAATTTGACCCTTTTGACGGCCTCGGCACTTGTAGTGAGAAAGCACATGCATTCTGTGACCTGAACATTTTTTCTACGCTGAACACCTTTCGCCAGAAAAAAGTGTCGAAGCGCGTAGGGAGCAAGTAGAACACGGCATTTTTTCTTCCTCTCGGACTACTTCTCGTCAAAAAACCTATAAGCTTTTTGAAATCTATTTAGGCACGATTATTTATTCGAGGAGGACCGTCCCTACGGCAGTATAACACACTCCAATCCGATAGTAAATTTCTCACGATTCACCAGGTTTCCTAGCGCAATTACTTCCATGCAATAGCATTTGGAAAAAGGATCAGAGATGAGATAAGACGACCGTATTGGGGTTAATCGTTGATCTGTCAACGAATCATATTTCAAGAAACTGTCATGCGACAGTAATTTTGAAACGACGGATGATCCCGGAAAAGGACTCACCAAATGCGCGCAAAAACAGAATGACTGCTGGATAATTGCGAAGCTTTATCATTTTTTAGAAGCTGATGAATTGAGAGCACCGAAGCAGACATGTGAGCTAAGGTATTTGATAGGCATGAGAGAAGGCGCAGATTTATAAAAAACCCCTCAAATGAGGAAACTGCGGCCCTCCATAAAATTGTTACCATATTTATAACGCACCGTATAGTTAGACTTGTGCGTGAATAGACACACCCCAGAGAGGTCAGTAGCTAACTAATTGAGAGAGGTCAGCCCACAGACGAGTGGGTGGATATGAGTAACAGGTGCGAAGCAGCAGATTTAGATTTATACGCGAATCCCGACTCCTCTCCGCAACCCATTGTACGCAACGAGAGTACCATCGCAACGCCATGCATTTATTCTTCGGTATTCCACAGAAAACTGTAAGGAAACACTAGTTAACTATTCCTTAATATTTTTCCCAGAACGTTAGGCTTCATAAACGTGCACAGAAAGATGAATAGATTAACAGCAACTTACCCATTAAAGCTCAGATGATCATCTTCTGCAGAGCATGATCGCTAGCCCTTACCTGGTAGAAAAGCTCGCCGATTGCATTTAACAATGCTTTGCTCAAAAAGACGATGTACTTGTCGTTAAATACAAGGAAATGATGTAGGTTCTGCGCGGTAGGGATCGGATAACCTGAATATATCAGCATTTACAATCCATTCAAATCCATCAAAGATGAGATAATTTGAACTCAACATCAGCCTAAATACCATGGATAGATCTTGGAAGCGTTGTTTGTAGAAAACAGAACTTGCCTTAGCAACACAAAACTTTTATCACTTCAACGCCGTTCAATTGCCACCTGCGTCCCGTCAGAGGAGACGATGTACGTAACACATGGTTTGACCAATGCAAAGGTTCATCCCTTTGTTTTGAGCTGCAGCTTGTTTCGGCTGTATATTGGGTGGTCCGGAATGTTTCTGCCGATTTTGAATACCCTTATCAAGTGTTTTAAGAAAGATCAACGGCATAACCTCGTAGAATTATATATTTTCTGAAAGTGTAAGTCTTCCCCATATCCCTTTTTAGATTCTGTTGATATTCCTTGATATTTCTTTGTATGGGGATTGAGTAGAAATGAAAGACAATCGCGTGCATTTTTGCCATCTAATGCTTTTCTTCTATCGCAAGAAAAAGAACGCAGCTCAAACCGCGAGAAAGATCTGGGGCGTTCACGGAGAGGATCCTCTACATGAACGTACAGTTCGTGAGAGGTTTGCAAAAATTAAATGGGGTGAATTCGACCCTGAAGATCGGCAACGCGCATGGAGGCCATCATCGCTCGAAGATGAATGTCAATCGAAAAGGATCGGCACATCACTACTCGTGAAATAGAAGAATGGCTTGCTTCGAAATCAACCATCTATGACCACTTGTCGGGACTTCGTCTTGCTAAGCGAATGTATGTTTGGGTACCTCCCAAGCTGAGCAATCTCGCAATTTGATGGACCGTGTCTCCGTGTGCGACTCGTTGCTCAAACAGAAATGAGCCGTTTCTGAAACGCATGGTAAGAGGGGGCGAAAGGAGGATCCTGTACAACAATGTGGAGCGGAAACGAACGTGAAGCCTGCCCAGTGAGCCACCAAAAGCCAAAGTTCATGTGCGGATGGTTATGCTGTGCTGCTAGTGGGAGTGGAAGGGAATAGTCTATTATGAGCTGCTCCCGCATAACCAGATAACTTCGGGAAGATACTGTAGTCTCCTGGACAATTCCAAGGCAGCGATAGAACAGGAGCGCCCAGAACTGGCCTGTCGTAAGGGCGTTGTCCTTCAGGACAACGTCAGGCCCCACGTATCTTTCGCCACTCGTCAAAAATTACTGGAGCTTGGGGGAGGTGTCTCACCATATCTCCCATATAGTCCGATATAGCGTCTGTTTGGGTCTCAGCAGAATTCCTTGGGTGGAAAATCATTCAATTCATTGGAGGACTGCAAAACGCATAAGTCTACAACCTTCGATGGAAGTGAGATAATGAAACTACTAGAACGATGGCGGGCCATTGTAAAGCAGAATGGAGAATACTTTGTTTGATAAATGGATTTGTTCTTTTAGAAATTTTCACACAGAGTCGACTCAGAAATTGGCGGAGAGTCTCCGGATAACCCAATATATACCGGTTGGACTATGTACGCTAACGCGTGCATTACATGTCCATGACCGCTCATCTACGATGGAGTCATTCATGGATTATCAGAATAAGATGATCCCCCCAGATTTGATTCATATTCCTTCAAGCACAGGGTTGACTATCTCCCATTACACTCTGATGAGCCATTTCCTATAGATAAATCCAGGAAAATTCAGGGGTAGGTGTTCATGATGACTATACACCTGAAAACCCTTCTCCACGCTTAATTATTATACTTCACTGTATAATTTCCAGAAATGAAACTTACCCGTCTGAAGCAGTATCGTGTATACGAAGCAGGAAAAATGATCTTATAGGCTTCTGTGTAAGACTTGGATAAGCTTGTAATATGTAATGCACGCACGTAACCCACCTGATTCAGCGATAAAAAGCAAAACTGGAAAAAAATTAATAAGTAATAATAAACAATAATAAATGAAGTCCCACATACAGGAACTGCTCACATAATGGGTTGTTTTCAGAAGAGCGTGCCGCCTTTACTGAACTACCGGAACGAGTGACTTCTGATGGAATGAATATTCTCGGACTGGTTATGTTTAGCGTGGCACTGGGGATCACAATTGGATGGATCGGTGAAGAAGGTCATCCCCTGAAAGCGTTCTTCAAGAGTCTTGAGACAGTCAGCATGAGGCTGATTTCACTTGTTATTTGGTATTCTTTTTTGTTCTTGTTCTTCTATTGTTTTGAATTGCTCTTTTCTTAACGGTCAAAGCAAACCTTGCGCCCAAGAAGCAGTTGAATGAAGTTCAAGATTACTGCTCATGTGCATTTGCAATTCCCAGAGTTTGCATCTCTTTATGATTGCAAGCAGAAGGTGTTTTCCGAACCAGTTATATTTAAAGAAAGGTTATAGAAAAAAACAATGATTACTTAGTGCGCTCGCCTGTCATTGAGGTTTTTATTAGAAACATGTTTTGCTTACAAGGGAGTGAAATTGAGGTTCCATTCGAATTCTATAACAGCATAGGGTTATCTAGTGAAACATGAAAAGACGGAAAAATGGATTTCATATATTACGCAAGACGCTTCTTCCGATTGACGCCGGGCTTCCCTCCTATTTCAAGAGAATTGTGAATATCGGCAAATCACCAGCTCCTTCTTTGGAACAAATGATGCTTTTTGGAACACCAAGCTTGAAAGAGGACCGATAAGGCAGGCTAGTGCTACTCCGAATGAACCGATGCTCACGCCTGTAATTGGAAGCCTCAATCTGTTCTGTTCATCTTGAAAATGATGGCCCATTGCAGGTGTAGCTGGTCCAAATCAAATGTTTTCGCTGTCGCTACGCTCCTTGCGGGCGGAGTCTAGTCCTGCCACCTATCATCAGTTCTCATCTTGCCTCCTGTACTCCTACCAAATTTTAGCACTTTAGGTCCGATTTGGAATTTTTGGGCATCATGAGACGTCACTTGAGCTTCAGCGAGGTCCTTCTTGATCACGTCCCACGACTTCTTTTTCGGGGCTCCTCGTGGTCGCCTACCTTGAGTGTCGTGCTCCACTGTTTCCTTTGTCGGATAGGTTCTGTGGTCTTCTCAGCACATGCCAGAACCATTGCAGCCTCTGCTCCCTCATTTTCAGCTGGATCGGGACTGTTTGCACAGCCACCTTGACGTCTTCATTTCTGATCCGATCCAGCCGCATCCTATCGCAGGCCCATCTGAGCATTATCATATCAGCGAAGTGGAGCTGCTTTTCGTGGCCAAAACTCGCTGCCATAGAGGGTCGTGGGCCTTACTACTGTCCGATACCCCTTTCCTTTGAGCGTCCTGGATCATCGACGGTTGCATAGGATACCGATGGGTTCTCTCCACTACATCCATGTCGCGTTTATTCGGGCTTTTACAGCTCGGCCCACGCTACCATCAATAGCTAGATCACTTCCAAAGTCTCGGACTTTTTCGATTGCTCCCCCAAAATCGTCGACGATTGACTCAGTGCACTCCTCGGAGCTGAGGAACTGTGTCTTCGTCACGTTCAGCAGGAGTCCGTTTTGCGCCAGCACTTCCTGCTATTTCTGCAGCTTTCCCTGAAGTTCTTGCTCTTAGCTATCAGAGCGGTCATAGTGTGGAGGATGGTCTTCAGTGGTCCATCCATGAGTTCTGTGATCACGTCCTAGTTAGCAGGAAAAGGAACGGTCTCAAAGCTGATCCCTGGTGTACCCCAACAATCCTATTCTATTGCTCCGGCTTGGCCGTGTGGGGTGCGTATTGTTACCGCCTCGTACATACCCTTGACCAGGGGAATCGTGTGTTCAGAAATAAAGCGCTCTGCAGAGGACTTGTTGCGGGACACGGACGAATGCTTTCTACAGATCGAGGAAGGCTAGTTAGCAGGATCCGTGCCTTTTTCGATACTTCACCATGCCTTGCTTAGCTATGAATATGGCATCCGTTGTAGACCTTTCAGGCATGAAGACGAACTGAGATAGGGACCAAGTCTCCCAATCTTGAGTCAACCAGCCGCTCGTACAGTTTCATTGTGTGAGCAATCAACCGGATCTCCTGGTAGTTAGAACACTCCATCGCGTCCCCCTTCTGCTGGAAGATGAGAGCGATAGTACTGCTCCTCCACGCATCTGAAATTCTTCCTTTAGTGGCCATAAAGTTCAGGAATCAAGTGAGTCACTTTATCAAATGCTACTTTATCAAATGCTCTCCGAGCGTCTTCCATGCCTCGATTGGTACCCCACCAGACCACTTGCCTTCTAAACCTTCATCTTTCCTATAGCTCTACGCACCTAATCCTCTGTCCAGAGATCGATGGGGCTAGCCGTTCTCTCTAATTGAGGGCTGTTCTTTCGGGCGAATTTTTGTTTAGGAGTCTGTCGAAGTCCCTCTATCTACACCTGACCACACCATGCTTCCTCAGGATTGCACCCTCGCTCTTCTTGACGGACTTCACCACCCCGATGTCCTGAGTAGCCCGGTGATGCACTCTTGTCAGCCGTGAAGCGAACTTTTCTCCATTTCGACCACCGAGTTTCTCATACAGGTCGTCGATTTCCGTATTCTATTCTATTCTATCTATTCTATAAGATTGATTACTATGTCTGCTAGAAGAAGCCTGTGCTGCGTAGCCAATTTTTCACATTGATGTCTTTTACAGTTTTGAGGGACGATCTCTTTTACAGTTTTGAGGGACGATCTCCTCGCGCACATGATCTATTGGGTTGTAACATAAGCTCGTAGAGTTTTGTGTTAGGGTCATTTAACAACGATTCGCTTTGTTTTTTGGCGAAGTGTATATATTCATTCGAATCTATAAAACAGCTTTATTCGTTTTTCTGGATAGTCTAGTTGCACGTCTTTTTTCTGGCTCAGAATTGGAATATCCAGGAGGTGAAAATCAGCATTTTCGACATCTGCTTTTCATCGAGGTCAATAAGCAGCCGAAGCTGCTCGGGACATATGCAATGTGTACGAGGAAGGTGTCCTAGATGTGCCTCTGGGTGGCCCCAGGAGAGGCACCGAAGCCGAGAGTCAAGCAAGACCTTCACTCAAAATAGGTCATGATTTGCGTTTGGTGAGACTGGAAAGGCACGGTGCACTGGGAAATGCTCGAACGAAATGCTACTGTCAACAAGCAGGTCCACATTGCCCAGCTTAACCGTGTTAGTGTGGCTAATCTGCTGAAAAGACCCGATAGACAAGGTGAGGTCATCTTGCTCCACAACAACGCCAGGGCCCATAATGCCCAAGTCGTCAAAACAGCACTCCAAAAGCTTGAATAAGAGGTTCTTCAGCATTCACCGTACTCTCCGGGTCTTGCACCTACCGACTACCACCTTTCCGCTCTCTGTCAAACCAAATGCGGAGTGTTACCTTCGAGGGCGAAGAGGTTCTTGGAAACTGGCTCAACAACTTCTTCGACACCAGACCGGCCGATTTTTGGTGAAACGGCATCAACAATTTGGTCGAGAGATTGGAGGAGGTCGCAAACAGTAACAGGAAGATACATCATTGATTAATTTATTATCATAATTATTGTTTTTTGGTAAAATAAATCTCTGTGAAAAAACTCTACGAACTTATGTTACAACCCAATATCTCCGTTTCTTTCCCTCCACTGCTGTATGTTATCTTCTAAGTCTTCCTTCTCGTGAAAAATTTGCTGCATGCTGACAAGTCGTGGGCTGTGGCCAGGTCGAACCCGCTCCCCTTCGTTCGTTCCCGACTCCTGTTCCCTTGCCTTCGTGAATCCACTCAAAGCTTCTTCGTCCACTCTTAGCGTGATCATTAAGATCATCCGCCACTGTGGGGTAGTCCCCCTCGGGAACTGATCGCATGGCCTCGTCAGGGTACAGATAAAACCCATATTTTTCGTAGACGGGGCGGCCGGCTTGTGGTGCGGGCACGCATATTATTGACCAGCACTCCTCCTTTATGTTTATCCTTACAGCCATGATTCGTTTGCTGATCCTGTTGACGGGAGACAGAGTATTCGAGGAACTCCGCCACTGCTATGGCCATATCATTCCGTTTGGTGTCTCCTCTATTGTAGAAGAGCTTGACACCATCTCCGATTTCTCTGGCCTTTCTAGCGGGTCTCCTAATGGCATAGAACATGGGTGTTCCTATGCTTCATAAGACCGTCGACTTCCTAGTAAGCGATCTCACGTTCAGAGCCAATTTGAACTAACTTCTTTGGCCGAGGTTGTTCACTCCCCGGTAGCTCGTGCATAGTGTCCACAAAACTCGAGCGAGGGCCCTGCGCGCCGCTTCCTGGCAATGTCCTAGCTTTATCACTGATATTATGTGAGACTTTAGACCTGATTATTGTTACTAGGTTTCTCCATCAGCCGGCCTCTAAATAGGCATGACGCTGGTACCGATACTATTTTTGCAGTTCATGCAAAGCATGATCTTCGCTTCGGCAGGGATCGAGCTCGCGCTCTTTCTGAGTGCAGACGAGCCTACACTCTTATCCCCTCGGCTATCCCTGCCTCCGCCTGCACGTTTAGTAAATTTGAACTCTCTAGGTTCATGTGAACCAGAAATATGAATTTCATTTGAACTCTCTAGATTCATGGGAGCCAGAAATATGAATTTCCAGTGAACCACACTCCCCCCATACACACATCCACCCACACACACACACACGCAACACACAAGAAAAACCAACAGTCGCACTCAGCGCGTTATATAGTAAAGTAGCGTAACTAGTCGGGGCGGAGGTAAGGTAACGCCAAGTGGCGCACTTCACACACGCATGGTCGCGGGCTCAAATCCCGATTGAATGATTGATGCCCGCCTAGGCCAACCAAGGCTTCTATGCCCACGGGGTGGGTTAATTGGTATCAGACTGGGGAGATAAAAGTACTGATTTGGCATCGGATGGCCACCGCAAGTCATTGTATAGCCCACATACGCATTCGATACGCCACTACGACTCTTAATGGAAGTTGAATACGTGGGTGCATTCCTCAAACGGGATTGATTAATGCCCCAAGACTTAATTCTTTGTCCTTTCATATGGCTAGACTGGGGCGGAGGTGGAGTAGTGGCAAGTGACGCACTATATCACACGCACTGTCAGGGGTTCTAATCCCGGATCGATGCCCGCATAGGCCAATCAAGCCTTCCATCCTCCCGGGGTCGGTGAATTGGTACCAGACTCGTCTGAGACCATAAAAGCACTGACTTGTACATCAGCTGGCCACCGCAAGTCATTGTATAGGCCATATACGCACTCATTACGCCACTACGATTCTAAATGGAAGTCGAGTGCAGGGGCGCATTCCACAAACGGGATCGATGAACGCCAAAAACTTTATCCTTTGTCCTTTATGGCTAGACTGATGGAGATTTGTATCGACTTGCATAAGTCTTCGTTCATTTTTATTATTCTCTACCCATTTTCATTCTACCGCCTTGCCTCGCTACGATATTTTCAGCCAGTTGAAGAAAAGACATTGAGATTACACTCCTGAATATTCAAGAGGAAACTGAGCGAGATTTCAACAAGAGTGCAACTCACCCGTAATTTTTTTTTTTTTGAAAGTTATTTCTCCTAGGTATTCACCGCTTGGAATAACATTCTTGATTGCCTCACAAATCGTTGGAATGAAGGATCCTGGAAAGGAGTTGCAAAGGCTTATGGGTTACATGATTACCGTGCTCATTGGACTGTTCATCCATGGCTTCGTCATGTTGCCGATTCTTATGCTTACGGTAGGTGATTCGCTCACTTAGGAAAGAAGAGGAAATGTGAAATTTAAGCTGAAGACATTGACGCATTCATTCAAGAAGTCCTCAATTCCTCATAAACATCGATCACAGACAATATTCTCAATCTCTGAACCACAGTAGACACCTGAAGCTGAATTGAACCCATTCCCAATACTTTCAGTTAGCAAGGCGGAATCCAATCAAATACGTTTACGGAATGGCACAAGCGCTTCTAACTGCACTCGCTACGAGTTCCAGGTGAGAAATTCACCGTATATCTTCTCCCTTTTCTCCAAAACCCTGAGCTCGCTCAAAGAATTTGGAAGGGTATTTACTCCGCAAAAAAATTGTTTTATCTTATGCCACAACCACGGTGCACCATGATTATTGTCGAATCTACCCACCTTAACACCTTAACCTCCTGCAATTTCTTGAAAATTTTTATGTGTTTACGCTCTTTCACCGAATTCTGGGCGCAATTACAATCATAGTTTCCCCTTTCATCAGTTTTTTTTTTCAGAAATATCAAAACTTCGTAATTGAAGGGCACATGTTTGGGTTTTGAAAACGCAGGTTTCATCATCGCAACATGGCTCCTATGCTGAAATCGCCCATTATGACTCGTAAAAATGTGAACGTAATTCTGCTGATAAGTTTAAAGGCGCACCACCATTCAAAGCCTGAAACCCACAATGACGGTATGATAAGGAGTTCCACAACCAACCCTGTCCCCCACCGCAGAAACTTACCCTGAGCCTCTGAAAGCAGTTGTTCGTGCTAGGGGTGGTCATACTGGATGAAAAATTTATATTAAACTCTTAACTAGTCAATATTGATGCTATGTTTTTTTCTGAACGATTTTATTATACATCATGGGTTGATTGGATAATTCTGCTAGAGGGATGAAAGGTATCTCACGAAGAGCGAGTTATGACTACACCCTTGCTTACCAGGGAAGGATCCCAACTCGAAGTGGCCATTTGAAATA